GTAAAAAGATTAGTTTATTTTTGATATAAAACAAAATCTATGAATAACTTTTTCACAATAATATATTTTATGAATTTCATGAAGACCCCTTATATACATGAATTTCAAAATGTCTGAAACCAAAATAAACTTGTAATTCCACCTTCTGACGTGCCCTTGTATACAGCTACTACTTGGAAATAACTTTAAATTGCTTTTCCTCTTCCTCCTAGTCTATGCTGCTATACTGAATACTTTGCAACTCAAATTTCCTATTTTTTGGCCCGCTTTTCCAGGAGAAACAGAAATATGGCAAAATAGTTTATTTTCAAAGGGCCACAGTTGAACAAACTGAGGCCTATTTATAAAGTGTCTAATGTGATGCCACTGTGTAAGCTGTGCTTTGCTTCTATAAATGCTCCATCCTTCTCCACAACCCTGCAAATCACAGGACAAGGACACAGCAGTTTTGCCTGAAGACTTACTACTCATCAGTTCAGAGATGTCACATCTGCTACAGACACCCTTGGAGATTACCTGGCCATTGAGAAGAGGTCACCTTGAAAAGGTCTCCACGGTAGCGTGCTTATCTCTAAGAGGCACAGCTTAATGACAGCCAGTCTTTGATGGGGTTCCCTCTGGCCCCCACACACCTGCATGCGACTCTCTGCATTGCTCACCACCCAAGCTCAACCTCACCCGCAAAATACCCACTCTCTTTCCACAACAACATTTCAACCTATCCCAAAGATGGACCAAATGTGCAAATTACAAATGTTTTGTAGAAGAAAAAGAAGAAGAAGAATCATTTTCATTCTGAGCAATTTCAACTCCACTGAAATTTTTTTTAATCTGAAAACTATATTGCAGGCGAGATACTGCTTGACCCAAAGGATGACTAAATGGTGAGCATCTAATGGAAATGCATTGGGAATCTTTGCTCCTTGAATTCTTTGTACACAGTCCTTTACTGCTGCTGAGTAAAGGAAAGAGGAAAGCTGCAACAGATGACCTGGTATGTTCTTTCCTGTCTTGTGGCTCCACAAATACCAGCATTGACAGGCTGGTAGACTCCTGCTTCAAAACACCACATCAATCTCCTAAATATAAAAGGTGTTTATGTCGCTATTGAAAAAATGTAATGTACATTTGTTTAATGTGATGAGTCTCAAAATTCTACAGGAAATACATAACTAGAATAAATTCATTTTTCTTCCTTACTTGTCAATCACATTTTTTTAAAAAAATAGGGCCAGTGCTGTGCTATAGTTGGTGAAACCAACACCAACATCCTGTGTGGGCACTGGTTTGTAGTCCCAGCTGCTCCACCTCTGACACAATTCCCTGCTAACACGTGTGGGACAGCAGCAGAGGATGGCCCACGTGCTTGAGCTTCTGGCAGCTATGTGGGAGACCTGGTTGAAACTCTTGGCTTCTGATTTCAGTGTGATCCAACTCTGGCCATTGCAGCCATCTGGGGAGTGAATTAGCAGATGAAACGAGCTCTCTCCTTTTCTCTCTCTGTAACAATGATTTTTGAGTGAATAAATAAACCTTTAACAAAAAGTAACTTAATTCTAAGATTGAAAAAGTTTTGTGGCCTCATTTTTCTAAAGTTACTCTGGCTAGCCATATCTCTTGCAATACGGATACATCAGTACAGGGTTTAGTAGGGGAGGGCAGAGCCTCACTGTTCTGCCAAATGGAGGGGTGGAGATGCAGGGTCACAAAGAGGTTATTACAATCCAGCTCCAGCCAGCCCAGCAAGTGCTCCCAGGCCAGCTCCAGGACACTGTGAGGGAACTGTGCCTACCAAGGCCCCCAAACTACTGATGGTTCAGTATAGGCAACTGAGGGCTTGCTTACAAGTCCTGGGGAGGTGAGGACAGTGAGGCCAGCAATGGGGTGGCCCACATGTCCTCTTGGAGACAATGTGGACAGATGAGGGGTTGCATAGGGTGCTGGTGCTGAGCAGGGTCAATGGCAAGCAGCCGCAGCTCTGTGAGCAGGAGGTAGAAATTCTCTCTCAACCCCTTACCCGGACCTGCCTAAGCAGAAAGTTCTCATCATCTTAAAGGATATTCACCAGGGCTGTGTCTGTGTAGTGGAATTGGGGTGCTCTTTTAAAGCACTTGTCCTTCACATATAATTGCATTGTTTATACTTAAAATGCATCATGTGTATCCAAGAGGCCTCATTTTTTTTGAGAGCTAAGGTACCCCACACTTTCAAAGCTATGAGGAGAATCATAGTACCATACCATAGTGCTGCGAGACTGCTTCTCCCACTCAGGTCTCCCCACTTTGCACTTGCTACACTACAGCAGACACTTTGCTCCAGGTCAACTGCTATAAATCGAAACCTCCACACATGAACAGGAGACACAGCCCAAATTTACAGAGCCAAAGTCACTGCCTCTCAAGCTCACCTGAGATGAGTAGGGATGGACCCGTTCTGTTACACATTCCCATGAGCTCATCCAGCACAGGGAGCACAGCCTGGCTTCGCTCAAGTTCCAGGGGGCCGGCCTCCTCCCTCAGGATGCTGGGTCTGGGTAGAGATGATCACAGCCTCCAGTCAAAATCAAGGACACATCTCCATCCTCACCCCTCCGCACCCCACCTCTAAACAAGCCTTTGTCTGCACCATCTTCCTGAAGTCTCCCCATCTTCCTGCTACCATAGAATAGCAGAGACAGAGTGATGTACAATGAAGTTAGTTTTTTTACACTTCTGTAGACTGCAAGGCCAAGGGGGTGAAGCTGGGAAAGGCCTTCATGCTATTGGGGACCACAGAATCTTTGGGTTACCAAGCAGTGAGGGGTGCACACAAGACACAGACACGAACTGGCTTCGATCACAGACCCACCTGCAAGCTAACCCATAAAAAAAGGAGAAAAAAAAGGATCGGTCCATTCAGTAGGGCAGCACCCCCAGGACCTAATCGCTCTTCAAGGTCTATCCTTGTACCACCACTCCCCCAAATCCTCCACAGTGGAGACTGAATTTGAGTTTTGCAGAGGAGGACTTTGCAACCATGCCCTCCCCGCATTCCTTCTTCTTACATTGGAGATCTAAGTGACTGCAAGCACCCACTTTGAGCACTCCTTGAGCTTCCTGTAACTCTGGTTAACTTTTTTCCCCTAAACTTGTGCTCAGCAAGAGGAAAAAAATCCAAAGGACTTTCCTTGATGTGGCTGTGTCGCAGGGGCAAGCAGAGCAGGCTGTGTTGCACGGGCAGTTGGACCGGGGCTGGCATGCTTCATCTGCAGTCACAAGAGGATGAGCCTTGAGGGTGGCTGTCCCCCCAGCAGAGGCTTTCTCCTGCTTCCTGGTCTACAGCGCATGCCTGCTGCAACGAGTGGGTGGTGGTACCAACAGAGCAGCTCACTCTAAAAATGTTCCCCATTCAATTTATACACAGGAAGGAGATGACGACCAGCAGCCAGTCCTGGGTAGGAGAAAGGCACTTTCCAGAAGCTGGGCCCGGTAGTGGGGGCACTCTCAGGTTCCTGTGCCCAATGCAGGGAAGGGATACCAGGATGCCCGCCCCTCTGCAGGCCCTGGGAGATGCAGTTTCCTGCTAGACGGGGGTACTCAGTTCACACCAGAACTTTGAAAATGACTGTTGGAAGAGATGCCCTTGGACTGCCAGGAAGCAGCGGTGGGCACGTCCAGGCTGCGGGCACAGCACAGACCAGGGCAGTGATGCCTGTGACTGACTGCATACATGTACCTCAGCTCACAATCACCCACCAACAGGAGCCCTGGCTCCTGCCAAAGTGAGGGCATGGACTCTTGCCTGGCTATAAGAAGAAATGTTGTGGGGATGAAACAAAAGCATGGAGAAGGGCCACGATCATCATGGGGGAGAAGCATTATCCATGACCCCATCTAAATCACGGGACTGTGTGGGAGACAGAACCCTGCTGTGGCTTCACCCCTCAGCAGGTTGTCACACACCCACACCAGGCCTCAGTCTTTCTCATCTGTAACATTGGTGGCTTGGAAGTACCAAGGCTGAAACCCCTTCCAATACTAATGTCTTAGTGTCCTTTAAATCTGCAAGTCAGGAACCAGCCCAGGCTCCTGCCCCAGCCTACTTTATTCACTCCTAACCTTTACCTTGGCAGACCAAGTTTAAGATTCAACAAGCATGTTAAACAACCCGTGGTGCGTTTCCTGCTTCCTGCCGTCCCCTCTGCCGGACACGCAGAACCACCTCCCTGGGGCTCAGCCCGGTGTGGGGGGATGCTGGGTGATTCACCGCCATGCTGCCCCAGAGGCCAAGTGCAGAGTGAGCTTATTTGATTTTGAGGTGTGCTGGGATGAAAGGCAGCTGAAAGCGGAAGGCTTGGTCACTCATTAATTAATTGTAACCATAATTGAGGGCTTGCTCTGAAGAGCAATTCCTTTGAAATTACTTTCCATCAAACGGCAACCGCCACAAAGGGATCAGATAGTTAGAGCCTTGTCTGTTTCCTTGGCGCGAGGAGTTTTACTCCGGGACTTGAGGTTCTGTTCCCATCTGGCTTCTCTACTGTTCTCCCACTCTCTCTTTAAAGCTGGGCGTGTGCGTGTGCGTGTGCGTGTGCGTGTGTGTGTGTGTGTGTGTGAGTGTGTGTGTTTAATGTCTGCTTTTTCAAAGGAAATCTAATAACCTCTGTGAGCTTTAATCTGACCTTTTTTCAGAAACATGGATAATGGGAAAATTCCACAGGAAGATAAGAAACATACCCACCTGAAGTCATGGGCCACACCTCCGTGCTCAGGATTCCGACTGGAAGGGAGGAGGCAAAGCAGTTTGTTGGTTCTAAACAACAACAATGAATGAAAAGGCTCCGGGGCATCTGAGGATTGACCAAGAGGAAACACATGTTGCACAATGATACGATCTTGTTGGTACAGTTGTCAGAGCCGGGAACTCCCACTGCAAAGGGCATAAAACCATCCAAGGCAGTCTGGGGCGGTTCAGTTCTGCAGCGCCAGACAACGCAGCAGGGCCAAGACACAGATGGCACCATGAACTCCAGCCACAGCTTCAGCCAGAGCTCCCTGGCCTCCCCCCATGGCTCTGGAGGGGGACGGAGTTGGCCAAGAAGCTTCCCCAGGGCTCCCAGCGTTCATGGCGGTGCAGGCGGCATGCGTGTCTCCTTTTCCTTCACCCCGCCCAACCGCCAGCCCCCGGGAGGGTCTTTGGGGTCCGGAAAAGGCAGTTCCCTCCTGGGCGGAAATGGAAAGGAGACCATGCAGAACCTCAATGACCGTCTGGCATCCTACCTGGAAAAGGTGCGCGCCCTGGAGGAGGCCAACACGCAGCTTGAAAGTCGCATCCTGGAATGGCATCAGCAGAGAGAACCGGGCAGTAAGAGAGATTACACCCAGTATGAGGAAAGCATCAGCCACCTGCAGGAACAGGTAAGACACTGGGGGGATACAGGCGGGGGGACCTTGGTGCTAAGAGGTAGGGTTCCGTTTCCATAGGACTGTGGAAAGGAAAAAATAGAGCATAAGACAAATTCCAGGAAACTGCCTTGGGAGGGGGGGGAGTGTGTAAAATAATGTGCACGAAGATATTCAAGGACATTTTCTTATCAGAACTAAAGTGTGGAACTGGGAAAGTCTATTTTGTAAAATTAAGCTTCTGTACATGAATTAGGTAGAAAACTAAAGCAACAAAATCAGAGAAGGATTATAGGTGATTTTGAAAATGAGACTACCTGATTTTTTATACCCCTCACCCAACCCCCCCCAAAAAAAACCCTAAACACTGAGGCGGCCGGCTGGTGCCCAGTATCGCTTGTGATCTGATGATGCCACAGTGCTGATAAGGGCTGGCACTGGCTCTGCCTGCTCGGCGCACAAGGTGCAGGAGCACCTCCTTTCTCATGACTTCAGCCGGGCTCCACCTCGGAGTCCTGGCGACAGCGTGCTTATCCACCAACAAAAGGCTGAGATATACTGTTTGGGAGCTCACATCAAAAAAAAAGGTCACACCCTCTAGAAGCCAGCAGACCAGAGGTGCTCACAGTTTTCTGAGTGTGGCATATGATGGGGGGGGGGGGGGACATAATAAAATGAGCATCTGTTAGGATCTGAGAATAGGAATGAGTGATGGTGATACACTTTAAAAAAATAATAACTCCTCAAAGTGGACATTTAGAAAAAAAAGTTAAGCATGTACCTTTTGGGATATCTCATAACCTTAGCTACAAGTCGAAAGAACCCAGATATTTGAGAAATAAGGCTGCACAGCTCCCCTTTTACACACAAGCAGTCCCACAAAGCTCCTTCTGTGCTTACAACTCCGCCTCCCCCCGAAAGGGCACCACGGGTTTCCAGCTTCTACACCGGTAGCATTTTGCAACATTCAGCTGCCCTTGCTTGAATATAGGAAGGACCAATCAAGATAATACAAATCTGTCCTCGTAATGAACCCTAATTATTGAATAATCAGCCTAATAACTGACTACATAATTACCTTAACTATATAGTGCATGGCTGTCTTTACCAAAAAAACAAGGTGACTCAACTGTCCTCACCAGGTTTCTGCATTTGATAAAGTCACTCTGGTTTGGGACTGGCAGGCACAGAAGCTTTTTGTCGACAGAGAGCTGAGAAAAGAAAGGTGTGAGTTCAGACCCGGCTAAAAATGATCTCCTCTAAGAATGGAGAGAAACAAGAAAAGCGGAAGACGAGGAGGGAAATGTCTGTTGAGCCTTTAGTGTATGCTGGGCTTCTCGCTGGGTACCGAACACTCATGCTCGGGCTGTCCAAGTTCTTTCTGCACCTGTAGAAAGATTCCGTGTCATCAAACTTCATTCTCACAGCCTTAAGTTTGGAGAAGTTGATCTGCCATTCAAAGCCACCAGCAAGAGATGGAGGAGGATTAACTCAGGACTGTGTCCAGTGGCCTCCTAACTTCCACCTCTGTGTGGTGCTGACCAGTCTGCCCTGCCCCAAAATCGTACTTAATATGAATAACTCCGGGACTTGGGCTGGGTGGGAAACTGGGTGGGGCTACTCCCTCTATATCCCCTTTTACCTCAGTTGAATATGTAAGGATTGTCAAAATAAAAATTTTTTTAAAAAAATATGAATAACACTGATGCGTTGCATTTGCATCATCAGTCGTGGAACGCATTTCATCCACGTTTCCTCACTGAATTCTCACAAGTGCGAAGCAGGTGTTTCTATCCTCACTTTATAGAGATGGATGGAGAGCAGGGGTTGTCTGAATTCTTGGAAAGAGAATTGGGAAAAGTGAGTGGATACAATTACAAGGAAGGGGAGACATCTCCATTGTCCAGGTGACATAGAATTCTGGGTTCTAAGATCAAATAGCAGGTTTCTTTAGCCTTGAATTCCACTTCTTCCTGGATTTTTACTTTAAACATTGCATTTTCTCTGCCTTTGAAGAAAGCGGCTTGTTGCAGTTGAAGTTGTACCTCTAGCCCAAACACTGCCCCAACTCCTAACTGTAGAGGAGAAAACAGAAGCCTAATGAGGTCCCACAACAACCTGGGGTCAGGCCCTTTCTGGGTCCTGAACAAATCCTCCAGGGTGACACAGAACCCCACTACCGCGCCCAAAGCCTGAGATACTGAAGGCTTTGCAAAAGCTCTGTAAGAAATCAAAACTTAATCCAATTCTTTTAAACACGAAATTGGGCACTGTCATGGGACAAATCATACACAAAATTTCTTGAATGGCTTTCAACATGTGGGTCTTTTGGTTCACAGTCAGAAGGTCTATTTCTTCCTCCAAAGATCACACAGCCTGGAGCAACAGTGCTGGGCTAATCCACAGGCTAGATGTTAACAGAATGAACTCAGGGCCCTGGGGAGAAGCCAGGTGACTAATGACAATGTGCAAGGTAAGACCTCAGCCTTGTGGAGTATTTCGCAATCCAGCCCCATCCATCTACAACCTGGAAGGATGTCTCAGGTTCTAATACCGTATCAGGTTAGTACACTTAGTGGACAATAGTTTTAAATGTCCGAACTCATATTCATACAGACTGCTTTTCATCTTTCATACGGTTAGAGAAAACGAACAGTCAGGGGGCATGGGAGGAAAGGCATTGGTGAGAATGTTCCCTTAGCAATATTGCAGATGCAACCTACCAAGCCTACTGCTCCTGTTCCAGAACACAGGAAGACATTGAGCCATTTACAATCTGACCAAGGGAAGAAGGAGGGAGCTGGGGCAGCCAGCAAGGCCATCTCCCACAAGGTCAGCATGTGGAACCTGGGCAAGGCTCTGATGCTGACATAGACTCTGATTACAAACAGGCTAGGTTTTCTTTTAAAAGGAAGCTTAACACTGTACATTTCTCTTAAGTGAATTCAGCTTCAAATCATTCTGAAGTATTGATAGTATGCCAGGGATATGCTATTCTAGCATTATTTTATTTTTAGCTCTTCTAACTCTCATAATTTGATAAAGCAGCTTGTATTGTTGTCATATTTTAGATGAGGAGACCAAGACTCAGCCTCGGCCCAGCTCACTCAGCCGGTGGCTGTTGCCATAGGATCCCAGGCACTGTGGCTCAGGTTCCACGCCTGGTGTTCTAACCATCTCCTGCTGGTGTGCATTCTCAAGGCCAGATTCCATGTAACTAGTGGAGCTTTAACTTGGGACCACATTTATGAAAGGTGCCTTTGTAAAGAGGCATGGCTTTGTCCTAAGAAAATCCTTTCTAAATAAAGGAATTAACTGTATAAATAACAATGGGGCTGTCAGAGGAATCTAACTGAATGCCAGCCATTTAAGGCTAAGACTGCGGAGGTCACCTATTGCTAGCCCCTGACTTCACAAGTGTAAACACTGAAGCCTGGAGTGGAATAACCAGGTCCCGTCCACATGTATGGTCAAGGACAGAGCTAGAAGCCAAGGAAGGCTGTCTAGGTCTAATGGAACCAAAGTAGCACCACATTCTGATTCTGCGACATTCCCCCTTTCCATTTCCTGAAGATATTGACCAGGATCTATTTTGCAAGCACAACTGCCCCATGAAACAACTTCAACACATTTCTTTAAAACAAAATGGTATGAACATCCAGGAATGTCTAACTGGAGACTTTGACGCTGCCAACGGGTATCAAGTAACTTCATTGGATGGTGAAGAATTATTTAATTAATATTTTAATAGTTACTGTGGGTTGCAAGCTTACCATACCTACAAGTTAAATCAATGGCTATGACGATTTTAGGGTAAAAAAAAAATTGTGCTATGTGATAACTATTAAGAAATCCATTTTAAAAGAGAGTGAAACAGACTTGTGGATCATATTCTTACTGTAAGACGATTCTGTGCTCTGTGCCTTGTGTGGGCTCCATGAACACATATCAAGTGGCTGACTCAGCATCGCCCTGCCATGTGTTACAGATCGTGGATGGTAAGATGACCAACGCTCAGATTGTTGTCCTCATTGACAATGCCAGGATGGCTGTGGATGACTTCAGCCTCAAGTAAGTCCCTTCCTGACAGTGTTCTCTGGTTCTGCTGTTGTTTGCTTTAAAGAAGCAAAACTCATCATCTTGTCATGACCCACATCTAAAATCTTACTGGATTATAATTACAAGGCATGACAAAACCAAATGTGTGTGACTCGAATGGGACCTAGCTTAAACAAACCAGAACTGAAACATGTTATAGGGTGAAGAAATGTGAACAAGAGCTAAGAGTTAAATGAGATTAAAGACTATTACTCTAGGGATGATACTGTTATGCTTATGCAGGAAAATATTTTACTTAAAAGATGCATTCTAGAGTATTGAATGATGAGAATATATGAACAGTATAATTTCTTCTTAAATATTTCAGTAATAAATATTGGTGAAGCAAATATTGCAAAATACTAATGGCTGTTAAATTCACATAATGGGCATAACATTGTTCATTGCTTTATTTTCTCAATCAAAACATTGAGTCACTATCATAGAATAATGTAATAGAAAACAGCTATGCAGAGGATGCTCTGTTTGAATTCACTTTTTCTCATTAAACCTAGAAAGTTAAAGATTAGCCCTCCAAACCTTATAAAGTATATCCTTATAAAGACCACAGCCATCCAACAATGGATATTCTCTTGCCTTCCTTATTTTACTTTTATATATTTGAAAACATTTGCTTATTTAAAAGGCAGAGTGACAGAGAGGCAGCAATAGAGAGGGAAGTAGGAAGGAGATAGGGGAAGGAGAAGTTGTAGAGCAAATCAGAGGGGCCTCTCCCATCCTCTGGTTCACTCCCCAAATGGTTGCAATAGCCATGGCTAGGCCAAGCCAAAGTCAGGAGCCTAAGATTCCTTCTGGGTTTCCCACATGGGTGTCAGCTGCCTTCCCAGCACTTCAGCAGGAAGCTGGATTGGAAGCAGAGCTGCTGGGGCCCAAACCAACACTTGGATATGGGATGCCAACATCACTTAACCCACTGCACCACAACACCCCAACCGGGCCCTCTCTTGCCTTCCTTCTAACAAAAGGTATGAAAATGAACACTCCTTTAAGAAAGACTTGGAAATCGAAGTTGAAGGCCTTCGAAAGACCTTGGATAATTTGACCATTGTCACAACAGACCTGGAACAGGAAGTGGAAGGGATGAGGAAAGAGCTTATCCTCATGAAGAAGCGCCATGAGCAGGTAGGATGCCCCAGGGTCCTCCAGAAATGAGCTCCATTCTCAGCCTGCACATGTTGTCAGAGGGGAAAAAACATCATCTGAACATCACTCCTTCTACGCTTTGATCTAAATCATCCTAAAGAACCATATAAATATATAACTCCTCCAATTTCAGAGCCATCTACTCAGGAGACAAGAGCAACAACCAAAATGCAATCATAAATAAACACAAACTGGTCAGTAATTTTGATAACACACAATGTTTCCCTAGATCTGTATGTTAGCGCAGGAGCAAATGTGTGAGACTGAGCTTCCCTCATAGATCCAATATCCAGCTAGCTGAAGGGCCACCGAATAAAAAGAAGCTGCTGTGAACCAAGATAACAGTGACAAGTGGCAAAATCTTAACATCTTAAATTCCAGAAGCAGCTAAGGCTCTTAGAAAATGGTAAGAAAGCAATTCTCATTTTAAAAGCGAAATGGTTTCTGAACATCAAAGAGTGCAGGGTTTTGGCTAGATGGTGGCTGCTCATGTTTCCTGTGGCTGCTTAGGTTTTCAGGAAATCCTGAGGTCATTGGCTTTGCAAAGTCATAAGGCAGGAGGTTTTCAAAGCCTCTACACCTTTTGGCTTTTTACTGAAACACCTCCCTAAAGCCATGATCTGAAGTGTCCAACTTCTCCATTAAGCAGCCACTTCATCAAAGGTCAGCTGCTGAGCGGGACTAGACAGCATCCGTGAGTCTGTTTCTGAAATATTTTCAACCAAGGACAAACCTGTTACCAAAAGGCTCATCGATTACCTATCATGTGCCATTTTTCATAAAATTATCAGAAAAAAATATCTGTGAGACCTGAGAAGACAAACCAGCGAAAGTGGCAATCACATAAACTTTTTAAAGCTCTGTTTTCTACTTCCCATGAACAGGCAGCCACTTCATTTTCTTCCCCCACCCTGTCACTAAACAGGAAATGGAGGAGCATCAATTGCCACATGACTTCAAGGTCAATGTAAGAGTGGATGCAACACCAGGAGAAGATCTAATGAAGGTGCTGGAAGATATGAGGCAGGAATATGAATTTATAATAAAGAAGAAGCATCAAGAGTTGGACACTTGGTTTAAAGAACAGGTAAAACAAAGGTTCTTGAACTTTCCGAACTTCTGTTTCCCTGTGGCCCTGGCCCCAGTACTGATGGCTCTGCCTTTGCTTGGTCTCACAGTCAGCAGCCATGTCCCAGGAGGTGGCCAGTCCAGCAGCTGTGCAGAGCAGCCAGAATGACCTCCACGAGCTGAGACGCACTCTCCAGGCACTAGAGATTGACCTGCAGGCACAGCACAATCGGGTGAGTTGGAGCTAGGCAGATCCAGTGTCCCCTTCCACAAAGCCTCCCTAACTTCTCCCCTGGGGCTCAAACCCTCAACCTTGTTAGGCCATCCCTCACGTCCTACTTGCCTTGCATATTGTGCATGAAGACAATGATTACAGTGGTCATTTCCTGAGAGCCTGGCTGGTGTCAGATGCTGTGCTGGGTGGTTCATTATATTCTCACATGAACTTTTTCAGGCAAATGCTAGTGTCCCCATCTCTGCGATGAGAAAAGCCTCCAAATAGTTAAGTAAACTGGCCAAGATCACAGTGTGTGTAAGTGACCAGTTCTTATTCAAGTGATGCATCAAAATAAGAGGTTCCAGAACCCTTATGATCTCTTAGGTTTCCTGCTAAAATCCAGTGTGAAGAAGGTCTAAGTACTGCTCTGTGGGTTACCACCCAGCAAACTCCTAAGTTCCTGTGTCAGTCACTTCTGTTATCCTCATGGCTTGTCATGTGATGCTTTGTATGGAGTGTCGCAGGCACTGGAAATACGCTAAATGAAAGCTGCCATTTGATTTGCTCCATAGCCTATTGGATCTTCTAATTGTTCATCAATTTAATTCCAGAATGATATTCTACATATGTAAACAGAGAGGACAGAATTCATTCTTTTGTGTTGGCACATGTGAGTGGTAAATGACTGCTATCTTTCATGAATCAGTGATGGTGAGCAGATGTTAAAAATGTGCACTATTGAGAAAGTTGAGAAAAGTCTTCAACCTGGCATTTACAATGCTGGCTAAGATGGCTGAACCCCAATTAAAGTACTTGAATTCAATACCCACTCTATCTCCTGACTCCAGATTCCTGCAGATAAAGACACTTAGGAAGTAGCAATAATGGCTCAAGTAACTGGGCTCCTGGATTGCATTGCTGACTCTTGGCTTCAGCTCTGACCCTGCTCCTACCTCAGCCTGGCCATTTGATGCATTCAAATTCACTGCAGGCTTTTTACATAAGCTATCTGCATCACTGGGAATCCAAACCAGTGCTCTGATAGGGGATCTGGGTTTCTCAATCAGGACATTAAATCCTTGTTCCAGCAGCTGCCATTTAAAACAGGTGGCCAGCAAGGATCTTACTATCAAGGTAACAACATTTGGGCAGAAAGATAAGGTGGTGCTCTATCTAGCTATGAGATTGTGGGCACAGGTGAGGGGGAGGTTCCGGTGGGAGAAAACAATCAATGCAAAAGCTCCAGGTGTGAGTTAGAGGAATAACAGGAGGCCAGCATAGCTGTGTAAACAAAGAAGAAAGGAGACAAGGAAAGATGAGGGATTGACAGGAGAGGATGGAAGAAGGGAGGCCCTGGGTCACATGGAGCCAGTCTGTTTGGGCCTTGGCGGGAGAGGTGTTTGAGACAGCAAGAATAGATAACTCCTTGAGGAATTTTGCTTTAGGTGAAGGAAAGCTTACAAATTGAAGGATAGCTTTAAAAAAAAAATAGGCATAGGCTTTAAAGGATCAAGATTTTAAGTTAGGGAGAAATGATGCTCTTTGAAAGCTGATGAGAATAATCTAGAAGAGAGGAGAACAAGAAGAGAGGGGTGTGGGAAAGCCAGTGAGTGCTGAGATGACCATAGCACGAACAACTTGGGCAGCAGTGGCTTGAACAGAGCGAAGGCCTGGATACAGACCCAAGGATATGGGTGGAAATCATGGTGGGCGCTCCCTTCCCGTGGGCTTCCTTTCCCTGATGTCACTCGGCAGCCAGAGCAAGGGCTAAGGGGATAATGGAAGGACCTGGACAGTGGAGAGACCTAGGAAATGTAGCCTAATGGCCTGGTGCCATTATAGGCCTCTAGAAAATTAGTGACCATGACAAAGCAATAGTATCCCATCAGGCACTTGCAATTTTCTCTGTAAGGTTAACGTTATACGTTCTAGAAAAGCCCAAAAGTCCAAACAGAGCAGCAGTGTGAACTTAAGTTCTCTCCATCCTGGCCCATTTCATGTTACAGGTTTTAGCATGCTCTAAAAAGAGCAAATGGTTGCCATTGTCATAATCAAAACACTGAGATCAGAATTGCCAGATTTATCAAAAACTGGACACTCCGTATAGCACAGTTTGACAGGAGTGAGACGTGGGGAGGCTGCCTGTTTCATTGCTTGGTATCACATGTCCCACATGGGATAAAGCAGTTTGGTTCATCACTTGTCAAAGATGTGCTAATACGGGAAGTGGGATGAGGGAATTGTGGGAACATTTTCTGACTATCTCAGGATTTTTGTTTTTTAAATTTAAAACTACTCTGAAATGAAATGTTCAAAAGCAAAAACAAAAAAAAAAGTATGTCCCACACAACATTAGAGCAATATTGGGAACTCACTTGCACCGAACGAGTTACTTGTTGCTCATCTGAAACTCCGATTTAACTAAGTATCTTCTGTTTTACCTGCCATCCCTGCATTAGACTCTTACTTGAACATATAATATTATAGCAGTCCCAGTTGTCGACTCAAAATGAGCACAGGAGTAGCATATATGACAGACACAGTAGCAGTTCAGAGTTACCAAAAGCTCCTGATACAATGGCTTTGTGCCCAGAAAGATGGGCTGCAGGAGTCCCAAGTCTACTGTTCATCTCTGGATCCCCAGCAGTTACCAGAGGGGCTGGCATATGCTAAGGACCCAACAAGTACATAGTATGAAACAAGCCAAGCCACCAGTCACTCAGCAACCGCAATATGATTCCCTCTTTCAGAAATCTGCTTTGGAAAACATGTTGTCGGAGACCCAGTCCCGGTACACCTGCCAGCTGCAGGACATGCAGCAGGTCATCTCCCACTATGAGGAGGAGCTGATGCAGCTGCGCCATGATCTGGAGCGCCAGAACAATGAGTACAAGGTGCTCCTGGGCATTAAAACCCACCTGGAGAAGGAAATCGCCACCTACCGCCAGCTCCTGGAGGGAGACAGTGAAGGGTAAGGCAAAGGCTGGCAGGAGAGGAGCGTGCCAAGGGCATTCGGCCTTCATAGTGGGCTTTGATGCACCCTACAAGTTCTGTTCGCAACGGTCAGGAAATCTTTTCTCTGCCTGGGGCCATTTGGATATTTATGACATCATTCATAGGTCATGCAAAATTATCAACTGGAAGATTACCCTGCTATAGGTTTATCGGATTTTTTAAGTCCTGCCTGCAGTTGCCTTAGCCAAATGATTCCATGCCAGGTCAAACATTCCCCACCCCTACAAGGAAGACAGGTGAACTTTGTGTTGACTTTCTTCAGAAATATCTATACCGAATTTTACTTTATTAAGAAGAAATAAGGAGTAGTCAACCAATACTTCCAAGATACTAAGATTTGCAGGTAGAACATTTAAAATGATTATATTAAAGTCCCTAGTATGAATCAACACAGATTGGTGGCCATGTTTCCAAATAGGAATGCATATAATTTTTACCCCCAAAATAAGTGAATAAATAAAAACAGGGTGGAGATGCACTATTTGAGCCAAACGACAACAAAATGGTCTTAAGAGACTGCGATGTCTCAGTATTTCTGACCACCTCAAGAAATTATAGCAACTGGACACATAAGGAACACATACATCCTATGACTCAAGAGAAAAGGTTGAGTTCTCTAAAAATATGTAAGCAAAACAGTGCTGGATCATACTTGGAACAATCTGAGAAGTTCAGGAATTCCGGGCTTGTGATCCAGACCTGGAGGAAGAAAAGCCGGCAGCCAACAGGAAGGAGGCAGATGGGGGAGGGGTGCTGCTAGGTGACCCGTGAGTCAGGCACGTGGGGCAGGCTAGTCTCAATGCCTTCTGCACCCAGTCAAGTTCCCCAGTGAACTCGCAACCTAGAGACTATTGAACTCTTAACAATTATCCTCAAAGAGAATTTACAAGTAAGCAAAGAAGGTCAGTTCACCCTGAGAAGTTTGTGATGGTTGTTGGTTAATACTAAAGTGAGCTTTATCCTTTTTCCCTTTTGTAGGGCAATGGAAGAATCCGAGTCAAGTGTGAAAGGTAAAAAAAAAAAAAAATTGCATCTTTGTTGAACCTATTTATATTTTTCCTGAACATTTAACCATTCTGTGTTCACTTTTAATTTTATGCCCGCATGATCAAAAATATTCTGTTAACTTCACAAGTTCAGTTATACAAACAAACTGAACTATAGATCTTACCTTCAACATATCTATGAAAGCTCTTTGCAAACAGTGCACCAAAGTGATAATTAATAGCATTGTATCTTTGTTTAGTAATGGAGTCTATTTGCTAAACACCTAGAAAATTAAAGACACATCATTTCTTAATCACACCATTGCCCACACTCCATTCTGTTGAGCACTGGCATTCCACAAGGCTTGAACAGTCCATCCTGAAAGGAGTTTTCTAAGGGCTGTGTAAGATTGGGAACACTACGCCCTGTTACCCTCTTCTTGAACAGTCAAGTTCCATTCCAGTATGGGAAATATGGAACAGACACTGCTGTGAGGAAGGAAAGAAACAATAATGAGAAAGAATCTGATTTTTATTTGTTTAGCCCAGTACTGGGAACTGTTCACAGCCTGCTACAGCCTTCTGGAATCCTTCATATCTCACAGACAAGTCCCAGGAGAACAGTCTGGACCAAGTGGCACTTTCTAATTAGCTGTGATTAAATCATTCCCAAGCATCAGAATCATGGAGTCATTTGTGGCCCCATAATAGCTGGTATAACCATGACCACCAGGCAAGAATGGACTAGTGATCCTTTAGCCACCACCCTGCCCCGCAACACTGGTTACCCATGTCCAGGAATGGGGAAACCATTGCTTGATGGGATGGCCCCTTTTACTGTTGAAGAGGTCTGAGTTTAAAAAAAAAAAAAATCAGCCTGTGTCTTACTTAATGGTTTCAGCTTCCCCCTAGAATTTACTGTTGGTTTGTTGATGTGTCAACAAGGTGTTTATTTAAATAAAGGCATATCTTTGAAAACAGTGACCATGATAAAAGTCCCTAGCTTCTTACCCATGTCTCACAGGACATGGCTTCTCAATCTTAAAATGAAATGTCTCAAATGGCACGTGGTGCTTTTAGGCTCAGAACCAACAAGGCAGATGCCATAGAGCCCACGTGAGCAGAAAGAACTCCACAGATGCTGGGTAGACTGCGGTGTTTGTCAGCCACACCTAAGGATGCTGGTCTCAACCTCAATTCCTTAGGAAGGGAGGAACATGCCCCTGGCTGCCATGTTGCTGACTGAATATCAGGGAAGGCACAGGTGCCTTCGAAAGCTAAGAGCAAGTGACCGGTGTAAGGGAAGTCCAGGTGGTGGGGCCAGCATGGTGGTGACCTCCCTGCTGTTGTTTCCCTTAGCAGCTGTAGCTTCAAAGATCAAGGCCATCACACAGGAGATGGTCAATGGAAGACTAGTTCATTCTCAAGTGAACGAGATCCAGAAGAATACATAAAGCCATAGCTTCTGCCTGTGGTTAAAGACTGTTCTTCCCCAATGGAAAGTTTTTGCCCAGACACTTACTTGGTGGGTGAGTTCTGAATGGTACCCATGGAGTTTGCTTTTCCCTGTAACTCCCACCAGACTTCCCCCAAAAAAGCTCGATGTACTGTTGCACTTTTTTGAATCAACGTGTGAAATTTATGAGTTGAAAGCTCTACTTTTCTACAACAATCTTGAGATTCTTATCATGATGTGTATTTTGTAGCCAATAAAACTCCACACCAACTGAATCCTGCCTTTTCTTTTACTATAAGACAGTATAGCATCTCATCTGAAGGAGGAATTCTTAGAGCACTGTCCGTAAAACATCCCAACGAACCGTAGCATTTCCAAGGAACCCATAACAGCCAAACCCTGGCCAGGATTATGACCTTGAAGCTACGTGACCTAGGCTGAGCTGTGGTTCACCAGCAGGAAGGGACTGAGGATTGGGAATCCAGAGATCCTCTGTAGAAGGGATGAGATGACCAAGACTCACTCTACCTCAGTCAAAAGAAAGAACAAGCGGTGAATGGACTAAAAGGGATTAAAGCTAGAAAAGGAGATCCAGAAAAAACAAGCCCCACTACAGACAGGTGCTAGGAACCTAAAAGGGAAAGTGACTTGATCAACAAAGTGAAAACTGAGGATCCAGGGTGGTATGCTGGACTGCAAGTTCAACTAACTACAAATCAAAGCATTTTAACTGTGTCCGTGCTGAACATACACAGACTTTTTCTTGTCATTATTTCCTAAGGAGTACAGTACAACAGCTACTTGCCTAGTATTTACATTGTATTCAGGATTAAAAATAACTTAAAGTGACTTAAAATACACAGGAGGGAGTGCATAGTCTCTATGTCAACACTATGCCAGCTTACTTAAGATTTATTTATTTGAAAGGCAGAGCCACAAAGAGATAGGGAGGGAAGGGACCTTCCATCCACTGGCTCACTTTCCAAACGTCTACAAACAGCCAGAGTTGGTCTAGGCCAAAGCCAGGAGCCTTATTTCTCCACGTGGGTGTCAGGGGCCCAGGTACTCTGACCATCTGCTGTTCCCCAGACACATCAGCAGAGGTCTGGACCGGAAGTGGAGGAGCCAGGTCTCAAACCAGCACTCCAGCATGGAATGTCAGCATTGTAGGTTGAGGTTTAACCTGCTGTGCCTCAACACTGGTGATAACTGTGCGGTTTTAGGGAAGGGACGTCAGCATCCACAAATTTTTGTATCTATCTTAGGGTCAATTCCTGACAGATAATCTCCTAAAAAATATCCAGAAGGACTATGACAAGCTGAAAGCTATAAAACCAGACCCAGAAAACAATCCTTAACTTTCTACTTACAAACATTACCTATATATGATTTGGTAACAATAAGCATTTAATAGCATATTAATAATTTTTTATCCAAGGACTTAAATTTTCCTTAAAGTTTTATTCATTGTATTCATTAAGGTGACCGACTCCTTCCAATGCTTTCAGTAAACTTCTTGGTCCCAGGCAAACTATCAATCAATAACAACTTGATGTTGCATTTGACTGAGAAGCAAGTAGGAAAAAATTAAGCCATTTATCCAAATAAAGACATAGTTCCATGAAATTTTTTCTCCTGCATTTATGTCAGCTGCAAAATGTTATAAAATACCCATTAGAAACCAATGAATACCTATGTGTTCAGATGACTTACCAATCAAAGAAATTTCTGTTTGTATTTGATTTTGACCAACACACCCAAGCCACCTAAAGGAGGTGGCAATAAATTCTACTGCTTACGTTCCAGAAACACTGTGAATAAACAGCAGTGGTAGTTGTATCTCCCACAAACACAATTAAACAAATAGTTGGCTAATCCAGAGGAATACAAAGTATTATTTTTGGAGCTTAATAGTTATGTCAACATATTTGCCTAAAGTATTATAAAAGGACTTGTGGTTTCACCCATCTGATATTGCTCAGTCCAATCAAACATGTGCCTTTATAGATCCAATACTGTACATCAACCCTAAAGACCATGTGTGAAATCAGGAGCTAAATTTGGTAAAAATTCGCGAGTAAGGATTAAACAACCGTATGTTGAGGGGAGAAGCCATAAAGCCAGCAAGGGTGCCAGGGCTCCAGCTATGGGAGCAACAGGTGGCTACAAGACAGGGACCCAAAGTAATTCAAGTTTCTCCAGCACAGCAGTCCTCAAACTTAGCTCTCCTCATCCCAGGACTGCAGGCTGATACTTGCAAACTCTAATATCCAGGATGAATTCTAGACCAATTACATCAATATCTTTGAAGAACAGAACCCAGGGCATGCATATACATACATATATATATGCATATATGTGCACATGTATATATACATAAGACTTCTGAGTTACCCACAATATGTGGCTGAATTTGAGACCCTAGCATGTTGCAGTTTCAGGTGAGTGCAATCTTCCATGTTTGTACGTTCACCTTATCACTCTGTAGTGATAACTACCCCGTCTCCAGGGGACAGTGCTAATAGGAAAATGAAAAACACCTTCACCTTATTCCCAATTCCTTGTGAATAGAGCCTCATCTTACAAAATTTTGGAGAACTGTTTCCAGGGAATACACTAATAAACACTAGAAGTAAGATAAATAGTTCATATAGGTAAGTATTTCATAAAACTAGGCAAATATACTTCCACTTAAGTCTAGCAAAATCTCTTCCCAGTGCATAGTCAGATATTTTGCCAAGGCATAAGTCTCCTACAATAAGTTTCTATGATGAAAATTTTGTGGTTTTAGCCTCTTAGTTTTTTTCACAGTAAAATAATAACATAAGCAAGAAAAAAAAAATCAGGAAAAACATCTCAAAGCTAAGTAATCACAAAATTTAAAGAATTTTTCCTTGAAGTAGTATCAGATTGGTTTCTTTAATTTTTCATGTACAGAATTCATATTTCTTAAATCATTATTCAAGGCACTATATCAAAACTCAATTTTAAAAAGTAACAGTCTTCTCTCTGTAAATCTGCCTTTCCAATAAAAATAAATAAATCGTTTAAAAAAAAAAAAAAAGAAGTAACAGCCTTAGAAGAAAGTTTAGGCCCAGTCTGGGGGCAGGTTAGACCAGGCCAAGCCAGAGTACCCACCAACACACATAACGGCCAGACCTTGCGGTAGGCCTGGTAGGGGATTTGGGCGGGGGCGGTGTCTCCCCAACTAGGCTACAACATTCACTAGTATGCATAAGAACCAGGCCTAGGGTCAGGCCTAGGGAAGTTCCTGGGAGTCTCCCAATCTAGGCCAGAGCATCTGCCAGCATGCACAAGAGCTGGGTCTGGGAGCAGGTCAAGCCACTGCACCTGTCAGGGCACATAAGGGTCAATATTGAACTTAGGAACTTTAAAAGTTTACTTGATCTGGAATATGGTATCCCATTTCTTTGAGGAAAAAATGGCAATTCCAACACTACCATTTATGAACATTAAGCAATTCCATAGCTATACGTATACTTATGAATCGTTCACAAGAGAAAGAGAATGCTATTTGATGGCATTATTCTCTCAGCCCATCATGGGTACTGGTGCCCCAGGCAGTCTGCTTCACCAGTGTTCATGTCTTTCTGTGGTCTGCTCCACACTCTTCTCTGGGTGTGGTTATGTGACTTAATTGGGCCAAGGGACCATCAGCCATCATGACAAAAGCAGAGGCTCAGTAACACTTGCACATTGGGGTTTTATCTTCTTTCCTGGAGACTTCTTAAGTCAGCCTCACGGAGGGGCCACTAACATGAAAACTGAGGAGCCCAGTTAATAGCCCCAACCAAGATGCCAGACATTCAGCTCAGGTGAAGCCACTCTAGCCTGCTGCCACCCATTCAAGACAATCCCTGAGGCCCCTGGCATCCTGAGGCAGGAAGATGCCATAGCCCCTCCATTTTGAATCTGAAATTCTGATTCCCAGAAATGTAAACAAAGAAAAAGGTGATTGTTTTAAAACCAGTACATTGTGGGGGTAGCTTTTCACGTATCAATAGGTAAATGGAATATTTAAAACGGTAGACTCTATTTCTTGCTCAGTGTTGTTAGCCAATTTAAGGCTAACTAGTCTAACCCCATCCCACCCAGCTCAGAAGAGGATATTAACTGGTTTCACAGTAAAATGGACCTCTGCAAAAGTCCCGATCCAATAGCCACAGGGGAAACATAGAAGTCAAGGTCCACCCTCTTCAAAGACCACCGGGTGGGAGGCCACTCTCCACGCACATCCTTAGTCCTCCCCCTTGTGCCCCCACAAGTGGGGATCCCACAGTGTAACCCCCAATCTGAAGAGGAGGGGGTAGAGGAAGCCAAATTGCCCAGGTGGATTCTTCTCCTGATCTTTGAGCTTCAATTCTTTTTGATTCTGTTTCTGAGTTCCTCATTCCAGGAACATTAACGCTTTCTCTATAAATATTTATGCTTACAAGTATCACACAGACCAGGAGTTTCACTGAAACATAATCTTTTTTCAATGTAGGTGATGTTCCCCACCCCTGGGAAGTGATAAGGCCTGTACTGATCGAGATGACTATGATGTCAGGGCGCTCCGAGTCATAATGTTTAATTTACACGTCATTAAGATCGCGGAGTATTAGTCATTCATTCTAAGTACAATTGCTCACAATGCCATTGTGTAGATGCTATATTCCCATATGGTCTTTAATCAATAAATATTTTCAAGAATTCTGCTGTTTCCACATATCTGACAATGTTGGCTTCCAGCTCTACCACATGGCTGTGCTCATCCTCAAAGGTATGACTCATTCCCCATCTCATTACTGTATTACAACATCTACCTGTTACCATCTTTCTGAAGAGGATTAGTTTCTGACATGTATTTCCAGTGAGGTTATGCAAAAATGAGAAGACAGCGCCTCTGATATACTTAATCACCTAATGACCTAACCACAGTTAGAAATTTAAGAACCCTGTGTATTTGTGTGCGTAACCAATCGGACTCTCCCAATCACTTAAACATCTCTTTGAAATTTACATGAGAATCCATCACATAAAATAAGAGTCATCTAACAAAAACAAGTCAATTTATACCATTTCAAGGTATGCATACACAGCACTAACTGCATGTGACACACACACACAGAAACTAGACGTATGTTTAGAATAGCAACCCCTTTGACTTAGCTTTCCATCCATGATCTCCCTTACTATTTGCCACACTCTGTAGGGTATTATTATCGTCATTGATAGTTGAGGCAGCTAGGGGTGGTCAAGTAGGGA